AATATAAAAAAATATAAAAATAAAAAAAACAATAAAAAAAGAAAAAAAAGAAATATATATATATATATATATATATATATATATATATATAAAATATATTATTATATATAAACATATTAATCAATATTAAAATTCAAAAAACAAAGTGGTGGTCTACAAATTCTATGAATCATTTCTAAAAATATATCATTCTTTGAAATGGAACAACTTGAAAGTCAAAATATAATTATTTATTACTTAAGATTGAAACACGAAACTTTGAAACTCATCTTTGTCAAAAACAGACGAAATGCCCTTCACTACTTCTTCTACTACAGGGCTTTCCTTCATAAAAATATAAAAGCTAACTTCTGTATTCTCACGTCCTCATAAGAAATGATGACGTAAAAATTTAAAATGCAAACAAGTGTAATGTATATAGAGATACTTGTGAATACACTCTCTTTGTCCCACTAAAGTTAGGCTTGACTGGGGGACGGGTGATGTAATTGTTTGATTATAAACATTTGTTCATATATTGTGTGCATGATATCTCAGTGATAGACCATGAAAGGGAAACTGCTAATTATGGTAGGGGACATTTTTTTATGGAGGGTGGGGTTTGATAGTTTACTGACAGTAACAGATCATCTTTAATGATTGTTAATTTAAAGCACATAAAATTTTCATCTCCTGTGAGATATCAACATGAAGGAAGGCATGTTCGCTAAAAATCTACCGTTTACTCTGAAAACTTGTATACATTCTTTGCTATGTTTTTATTATTTTTATTTTTATCATTCCCGGCAACATACTCTACAATATTTCTTCACTCTTCCCATAAGCCACTGACTTCCATCAAACCAACCCACAAGATTAAGCAACAAAATCCACCCACAACATCCACTCACAACACCCACTTACATCATCCATCCACATCATCCACCCATACTATCCACCCAAACCATCCACCCACACCATCCACCCACATCATCCACCCACACCATCCACCCACACCATCCACCCACATCATCCACCCACACCATCAATTCCCAAAATCCACAGCCCCTTCCTGATCCACCTCAAAACATAAATTATAAATGCATTTTCACCCACTCTTTTTTTTCAAATTGTTGTAACACTAATAATTGTTCTCCTGCTCACCTTTACCACAGAGTCCTTACGCTTAGGTATAGTTGACAGATCGCCGCAAGGTGCGAGGCCTACTTAAGGTGCGTGTTGTTGATTTTTTAGGGTGTTCTTAACACAGTTAATCCACCGACGGCGTCGTGATCGTCGTAACACCTAATAACCGGAGTGCCAGCTATTTTAAGCTTACAATGCATGAGGGTGTAACAAGGACTCTATCCAGGTGGCCAAACCATTTAATGTATTTGTTTGGTCCTTATTCTGGCTTATTAGGATGACATCAAATAACTGTCTTATTTCCTGTTCGGAAGTTGTTTCTTTTTTTTTTTTCTTCTTGTTTTAAATGTAGTTTCAAACGTTGCTGTATTTGTTGTATTTTATGTAGATTTAGACAGTATTGTAATTGTAGATGCAATTATAAAATTAATTGCATCTTTTTTTTTTTATGAGTTAATGTAGTTGTAGATATAGAGCAATTTAGATGTATTTACCATTTTTTGTATATTTTGATATAGTTTTAGCAGTATATTAAATTTTTGAAGTGATTGTACATCTATTAGATGTTGATGCAGTTGTATTTGTTGAAGCCTTTGTTGTGGATATAGTTGCAGTTTAAGTTTAAGTAGTAATTTAAAATGTATGTGTTGTTGGTGTAGTTTCGGGTAAAAGTGTAATTTTAATTATATTTTTCGTGGATTTTTCTACAGTTGTAGTTGTTGGTGTAGATGTAGTCGTTGTCACAAATGACTGGGGCAGGATACAGGACATAGCTCTATTGTGGTTAAGGTAACTTATAGGATGGACGGAAACTGCTGTTAGTTTAGGGAAGGCATTGTTAGAGTAGGAGGTGAAGTTAAGGTTAATAGACTCTCGCATCTTGGAGATAGGGGGATCTTTCTTTCCAAAGCATTATGTCTCGGGTTTTCCAGACTTCGCGTGACAGTTTTTGGGTTAACGGTGGGAAATTCTAATTGACCGGAAATTAGGGGGCATGGGTGTATTTATAGATAGCATTCCTGGACCACCTATGCGGGTAGAGAATCACATATAAGAGGGAGCTTTCACGGAGCTAAAGGAGTTGAGGAAGAAGGAAAGGAGGACAGTAGTTAGTTGAGGACGATAGAGAAGAACTACGGATTATTTGAGGAAGAGAGAGAAAAAAGCTACGATAGAACTGAGCAGTGGTTAGGGAATACTTGCTAGAGACCAGAAGACGACAGATGATAGAAGAACTTATATCTTAGAACTAAACATTCTTTCATTATCGTTGGACACCTGGATTTTGAGTTGTTGCATTTCGTCCAAGTCTACGTTGTGCTTTTGTCTGTCTCAACGCCTAGATAGCCACCATATAAATCACAGAGAGGAGCGGTCCTGTACTGACCACTACTTAGTCAACACAGTTCGTGGTAAATCAGGACCGGAGCCCTCCTCCGTAACAACCGTTCTGCAACAGTTGTACATCTAGTTTTAGCTGCTGTTTCAGTTCTTAGCGAAGATGTAGCTGTGGTTTTAAAATAGGATGTAATTTTAGATTTTGTTTTAGTAGTACTTGCTATAGTTTAAAATATAGTTTACAGTTGTACTTGTAGTTTTAGATGTAGTTATAGTACCTTTTTTTTTAGTTAATTATGTAGATAAATATATAGATCAGGCTACTGACGGGATCGGCAAACCACCGGGATTGGACAACCGGCGGGATCGTGAAACCACCTGGGAACTGGATCATTGAGATCCCAAGAGATCGAGATACCAATGTGAGGGGGAACGTACCAGAATCGGGAAATCCCCAGTATCGGGATTACAGCCCCATTGACATTCCACCGGTGTCGTGATCTGGTATCAGGATCTTACTGGTAAGTGGGATCATATATATATATAAATATATATAATATATAAGGAGAGAGAGAGAGAGAGAGAGAGAGATAAACAAGATAAAACTTCCTGGTAAATAAGACCCAGCTATGTAAATGGCTGTCGTTTATTTCATACCGTCAGCGCTCAATCCGATGTTTTAAAGTATTTTTTTTTTATCCACTAGAGAAGTGGTCCCCGACTTTTTTCTCCGTAACTCAACGAACTAATCTAAAGCGTTGTGTTCCCCCATCCCGTTAAAGAAGGTGTAAAAACAAAGTGTTGTCAATGTTGTCTTTTGAAGAATTACATCTACTCATATTCAGAGTACTTTAAGGATTTAATTCTATAACGCAGATGGCAATACGAAATAAATTCCTACTCAAATGAATGGTAACAACGATGAAACTTTACTACCAATAAATATCTTGCAAATAGGTGTAAATGAAATTAATTAATTTTATTGTCAAATTAAATATAGCACAACACGTACATTGTGTTATCCGAGTAGTAACGGAAGATATGTTAGTGCAATCTTGTATCAATCATTGTGAAGTAATTCTTTCCATATCATTGTAAAAGAACGGGATCACAATTAACGGCGCTCATTGTGTTTAAAAGCCAATGATCTTCTAAACCAATAATGCTGTAAACAAATTATGAAAAAAATGAGAATCTAGATATTCATTAAGTTTGACCTAAAATTGGGGTGGGGGGAGGGAAGGGCAATAATAGTGACAGGTGCTTAGCCGGTTATAGTTTATTGCCCACGTAAATGTCCGGTATTTTGAGACCATACCCGCAGGATTCGAGGCTTGGTATTATATTTTTATAAGACCTTGACCCGGTTCCCTTTCATTGGTTGAGTCAGGGTATTTAACATGAGTAAAATACTCGTCATTTTCTAGATCCCGAATCATCCAAAACACTGACATATTTATTAAACCATGCTTGCAGATACGTGCTTTGCGCTAAAGAGAGTTTTTTACACTATCACACATGTCTTTCGAATAATACCTTTAACTTCCTGATTCTTTGAAACGCAATCCGGTAGGGATCCGGTATGGGAATTCTTAGCGTTGTTTTATTAGAATGTCCTCAAATGAATAGATATAACGAATTCTACAGATCAATAGTAGGCAATTTTTGTATGTCGATCGGCACGTCGAATTCTTCTGTCAAAATATTATGTAGTAGTAAAGATTTGAGGTTCTTTTTTTTAAATGATGTGGTTTAATGATTTTAAAGATTTATTAATTGATATTGTATTTAAAAAATAGTTAATGCATGTTATATTCGACGTTATAAATACATTATTTATTAGTGGTGCACACAACCTATTTTTTGCCTAGTGACCACAAATGTGTAAATCCATCATGAGTTGTGTTTAGTTTTTTTTCAGCTAGAGAAATGTTCCCAACAATCATTAAGATGCCAAACAAAAAAGCATATGTTATATGAAATTTTAATGAAACTTTGATTTTAGGTTTTGTCCCCTTTTACGTGTTGCCGGGTACAGAGAAAATAACAACTGTCTATAATCAGAATGCTAATGTACTAGACCAGTGGTCGGCTAATAGCGTCTTGCAAGCCGCATGCGGCTCTTTAGCGACTTCAGTGCGGCTCGGCCCCTCAGCCACAAATCGGTTTTGACTCCGACAAACGTGGTTCTTGAAACGAAATTGTTGTCGCAAAAAATAATTAATGTCCTGCTGCTGATTTTGGGCTCTTTGGACTAATGAGTTTGCCGACTACTGTACTAAATATTTATCCATCCGTCTCATGGGTTCTTAGCGCGCCCCCCCCCCCCTAAAACCAGGAAGTGTTTCAAAAAACTATATATTTAAAAGCGTGATCTTGCTGTCTATGCATATGGAGAATTTTGGACTAATGAGTTTTCCGACTACTGTACTAAATATTTATCCATCCGTCTCATGGATTCTTAGCGCGCCCCCCCCCCCCTAAAACCAGGAAGTGTTTCAAAAAACTATATATTTAAAAGCGTGATCTTGCTGTCTATGCATATGGAGAATGCATATCAAGTAGATACATTTGCTATTTCTTGTCGATTACAGGAGAGACAGTAATGGATTTAAAAGTATTTTAGGCCTTTTTTTGGTATCTTCGCTACGAATACTTTTATTTACAGGACTTCGCCATTGAATGAGCGGGTTGGAAATAGACTGAATTCAGGCAACTCGATTCGCATGCACGTTTGTATTTGTTTTAAATTGATTATTATTATAATAGTTCACTTACACGTGTAGCCGAGCGTTAGGCCAATTTACAGTTTGAAAATTTAAATCAAATCCAAAAATCGGAACAAAAGAAAAAAAAATAACAACATCTGAAAAGATATAAACAGTATATATGTATTTTATGTGACAACCATTATAGAATATATAAAAAGCAATACACATAGTGTCTAGTTTCAGATAATACAAGCTTTTCAAGCTGTCCAATTAGGACACGCCTTTATTAAATTTGGGGAATCTGAATTGAGCAAGTTATTCAAGGTGAGGCAACATTTGTAGAATGCAATAAATATCCTTTTACTAACGAGCATTAGTTCTGTCGGAAAATACATTCTTTGAATATCAAACAATAATTAACTGTAACAAAAGCCGGAACATAAAGATCCAAAAGGCACATACAATTATTAAAATATTTAATTATTACAGAAGTTATGCTGCGGGGTTGAGCTTTTATTTAAGAAGTACACAATTTTGCGTTTTGAAATTTATATGAAATGCAAGGGCGCCCATTAAAATCTCAACATATTTAGTTTAACAAATTACCTGCACCTTTTTTAAGCACGGAGACCCTGGGGTTCTCGATAACTTAATCAACCTAAAATTTGGCATTTTCGGCTCTTACAATGACACTATCGCCCACATGGGTCTATTTGTTAGTTCGTTCGTCGAAGATCGACTGGGACCATCGAGTCGTCCGGTGAATGATGACTTGCGCGGATGACTTTTTGTTTTACGTGAGGAAGAGTTGCGAGGCGTCACCCTCACTCTCTCGTCCGGGCCCACCATATCAAGTGGCAAGACTCTACGTCAAGACGACCAGGGATGGTTACGGTTGAAGGAATTAATTGTCATTGTATGAGCCTTACGGTACTCCGACTCCCGGTTGAAATTCATAGTTTCCAGAGTTTTTTTTTCCATTCCATTGGTCTATTTAAGGCTTAATCAAATGGCAGTTAATTATCTATGCCAATATAACCCTTCTCATACTACATTATTTCAAAGTATTATACTCGTTCATTACTACTGTCGTATCAACTTATTGTCGTATCAACTTATATGAATTTTTGACAAACGAGGCGTGTAGCAAGTGTAACAATATTGATACATCTGTATGCATTATCTTAGCGCTACTTCTAAGTGAAGAGCAGGACGAATGTTATAACACTAAGAAGTATAACCACGTGTTGGATTCTATTGTTATACGCTGTGTCTTTCCGAGATTAACGCGCATTGAGGGATGCATAATCAAACGATATAACGGGTTAGGATTTGCCTTACGCACACACTGATGTCTATGTAAGAATCCAGTTACATGTTGGTGAGCTTGTTTAACAATGACCTTCATAACATTACTAGATTTAATTTAATTAGATAGCAAGGGGTAACTCGATATAAACCAATACATTCTACAAAGCACTTGAGTGCAAAGGTTAGTACCCTAATTTACTTACAGAACGTCCAGGTGGCTTGCCTGAGGTATTAAGCATGCCAACTATGACTACGGCTCGGATTTCTAACCAATAAATAATTAACACACTCAAAATAATTAGGACATTGTGTACATATCGAAAAGCCCTGTATTTAGAAAGCATAACAGCGGGAAGTTTTCGTAAAATTAACAATACTCAGAGATTCGTACACTATTAGAAAATTAAAACCCGGGACCAAAAACCTGAAGAATGATGTATTTATTCAAGTTTAATCTCGGTTTTTTAAGATACACTTGCAAATGTATGTAGGTTAAATGTTCGTTGTGACATAGCAAGTCGATTGCTTTGAGAGCCATGGAAGAATGTAAAAAAATACTTAAAATTTCTTAATATTTAAAAAAAACCTCTACACTTACATATGTATGTAGGTTAAATGTTCTTTGTGACATAGCAAGTCGATTGCTTTGAGAGCCATGGAAGAATGTAAAAAAATACTTAAAATTTCTTAATATTTAAAAAAAACCTCTACACTTACATATGTATGTAGGTTAAATGTTCGTTGTGACATAGCAAGTCGATTGCTTTGAGAGCAATGGAAGAAGGTAAAAACATAATTAAAATTTCTTAATATTTAAAAAATCCTCTAAAAGCAGCTTTTCTTAAAATTGACGGGATGCACAGGGTGGTAGGGGAGTAATATGCGAAGTTAATTTAGGGAGTGGGGCATTGAGAATATTCTAGGTGGGGGGGGGGGCGTTGGTGGATAGTTTTATAAAGGCTTTCTAAAAAATAAAAATTATATTTAATTTTAAAATATTCGAAATGTTTTTATGCTTATCATACTTTATAAAAGGAAGCTGTCAAAGATCAAGGAACATTTTTGATACTCTTTTGATATTTGAAACAGGAAAAGGGTATATTAACAATAAAACAGTGTTATAGCCTGTGTGTTTACCTATTTGGTTTCAACTACTTGTCTCCCTGCTTTTAACAATAACTTCATGCATTAATTGTGTAGCAGTTTATCTTTACCCAAAAATCCCTAGACTGCGACAAAGTTTTTTTACGTTCTAATTTGTTTTAAAGAATGGCATCGGGTCATGCAATTTCTATAATATCTTTTCAGGAGGGTTCAAACGCCCTCCCTGTAAATGGGCACCTTTTTTTTTCAAACATTTCCCGAAATTCGAAGATTTGACCCGTGGAACACCTTCCTTTTCTAAAGCAAAACAACACACATTGCTTTTGAGGCATTATTCGTCAACAAACAAAAAATTATACAAAAGGAAGTTAGCATCGAAATCGCAATGTTATCAGGGTGTAAGGAAAATCTTGATAAAAATTATAGTAAAGTGCAGTAAGAACCTTAGAGGTCCAAGTAGTATATGAGACAAATAATTACAAGCAATTTTTCTGTTCACAATATCACGATGGTGTAGGCTTCGCAGGATAAAATCACATGGCCTCTGATTTTCAAAAATAATTTTTATCTTGTTACCTTAACAACAATTTGTCTCTCACCATGCACCTGAATAGCTCAAGGGAACACCATATATGGATGATGAAGATTAATAATAATCATAAAGTTTACTTTAACATCACGATTCCTCCCCAGAGGTTCGAAACGCGTTACAAAGTCAATTATATACAAAAAGAAATTATTTTTTTTTAATAACACATTGAAAATACAAAACGCAACATTACAAAAACTACATATGAGAATACCAATTCTTAGTCTTTCATTACTTGCAACCATAAACAACACAAGTCAATATACGTCTAGGAGATAAGAGCAAGCTGGAAAAGATGGTAGACAACATCACCACAGCAGGTATTTGCGAAATAAATGTGATTTCAATTCAGTTTTCAGAAACTCTAGTGTCTGGCTATTTCTAAGAGCGTCAGTAAGTGTGTTCCAAATGGTTAGGCCAGCAAATGCGAAAGTGCACCTACCGTAAGTCTCAAGGCGAACACGAGGTATCGAGAGTTTGCCACTATCAGATGAGTGGAGTTTTCTTGTTTGTACATAACTCGCCATGAGCGCTTTGAGATAGGACAGTGCCAGATCATGAAAGCATTGGTAGCACAGAGTTGCAATTTTGTATTCTATGCGAGCGAAGATTAGCAGCCGTAAAGTCACAGGAGCACTCTGAAATGTCAGTACGAGTTGTCTAGTAGGTACATAAGTCGTCATTAGCGCTTTGATATGGGACGGTGCCAGGTCATGTAAGCACCGGTAGCACATGGTTGCAATTTTGTACTTCATGCGATCGCGAACCGGCAGCCAATGCAACTCTCTCAGAAGTGTTTTAGCATGGTCAAATTTGCGTTTGCGAAGAACAATGCGAGACGCATTATTCTGTGCTTTTTTAATTGTATCCAGGAGCGTAGCTGGAAGACCCACCATGAAAGCATTGCAGTAGTCCATGCATGATAGCACGAATACAGGCATAAGTCTCTTTTTTGCATTAAATGTTAAGAAAAGTCTGATATGACTAATTTTGCGCAGCTCTAGAAAAATTGCGTTGCAAAGCATTTTATTGTGATTTTCTGTAGTCGTGTTCTATCCAAATAGACACCCAGGTTTCACAATGTTTGAGCAAACTCAATCTGTATACCTGAGAGAGTAAGGGATGGTGTGTTATTTACAGATTTTAGCTTTGAGATCAGCTCAGTCTTTTCATCGTTCAATTTGAGCTTGTTTACGTTCATCCAGTGCTTAACTTACTCCAATGTCTTCTGTGTCATAATAAGAATTTGAGAGGGGATCATGGACTGCTAAAGTTGGGTATCATCCGCGAGCATGTCATATAGCATGTCAAAATGCTTGATCACTGCACCCAGGATCTGTACGTACATATTGAAAAGCACCGGGCCTAGGATTGAGCCTTTTGGTACTCCGAATAATGGAATGCTTCGAAGTCAAAGCGTTAGAGATAACTAATTGAACACCATTAGTCATATACAATCTCAGGATGGTATCGTTGAAATCGAAATTTTTTTGCAGACGCGGGAGAAGTATGCCGTGGCCAAGCGAATCGAACGCTGTCGATAGATAACGACAAAAGGGATACCATTCTGTTACCACAAGACGACAGACGGTCATTTACGAAGCTTAACAGGGCTTGTCTTAGTAGAGGAAAACGCCCTGTATGCTGAGTGGAAAGGCTCAAACAAGTCACACCGAATGAGGTGGTTCAGGACATGGCGGAGAACAACTTTCTCTAAAATTTTGGATACAATTGGTAGATTACAATCGGGGCGATAATATAAGATAGGGTAACAGACATATATACACACACAGAGAAAAGGTCGTCCAAAAATGAATAATTGAAACTATTGTTTAAAAAAATGAATTTAATGAATACATTTGAAATTATATTTCAGATTTCAAGAATCTGATCCATCAACAATCATCAGGAAAGATTTTCAAATAAAAACTTAATGATGAAGAAAGGGGACAGTTTAGCCCAAAGAAGTTGGTTTTGCAAAAGAAAGCATATCTCAAGGTCGTTAATAAATTTTCTTGAAAATTAGAAAATGTTCAATAGATCTTCTTTATTTCATCAAACATAACAGAATGTTTTAATTTTATGGATAGGCAAAAATAAATATGCAAGTTTATGTTATTAGTAATAGCTAAGGTTTTTATTTAGCGTTTGCAGTCACTTCCACATCCGTTCAGACATTTCTTTTCACTTCCATGGCAAGCAAAAGCTGCAACCTGAACAAAGCCTGAATTTAGACGCCCTCTTCCGCAAAAAGTTTATATAAATACACATATTTTAAATGAAACATGACGAATTCGTCTCCCTTCTAAAGTCAACATCATTGGGCGGGTGGCACCATTCACAGCCCCTTCATACGGCGCGTAGTCTTAACTCACACAGTCGAGTAACATGATTTTACTTATATCAATGTGTCAAATGTTGGAAGCTCTTAATGATTAGTGGACTGAAACTCACAGGATTAAAATATTATGCATGTAACCATTTTAAGTTATTTTCTTTTCTTTTAAAAAAGCAGGTCTCTCTTTATTTCCTTCTTGTCGATCTTGATATCTTTTTCAACCTTGTCGTTTGTAGCAGTGACGATATATTCCAGAAATTTTACAGAGGTAGACTTCAACTGTTGTTTTTTTTTAAACTTCTATTAAATCCTTTAAACGATTTGTTATAACGTAAATTTTAAAGCTTTTTTTAAACACATTAAAAATTAAGATTTATATTAGTTTATATTAAACGCATATTTTAATCAGTTGGTATAGATCTAAGTTTATCTATCAATCGACTAGCCTCATTCGGTCTGTTTCTCTATTCATCAATGAACAAAATATATAAGTTCACTACAATTTTTTTGTCTAGCAAATATAACTATTTATGTATTGGTTTTTTGTTTTTTTTAAAAATTCAAATGATAATAAGAATAATTATCTCATAATATGTTTCCTACTGAAACAGCTGAACCAAAACAAGTATATCAATAAAAAAGTTATTACGGATCTAGCGTTGTTTGAAGAGGTATTTAACCAGTTTTTTCCTGTATGTTGTTAGTGTTGTTTTTAGCTACCGCGTTACAGGTCTGAATGCAAACAATATTCTATTATAATTTAACATAACATAAAGTTTATTTTGCAAGACGAGCGCAAAAAGTATTTGAAATAAAGCGTGCATATATCTAAAAACCATCAAGTGGAACTTCATTATTTTTAGAATATGTGTTTAAACACGTCATTGAAAACTTCATGGTTTATCTAAAAAAAACTTTTGAGTATTATTTTTCTAATTGGTTTAATTAATGATTATTTTAGAAACATGTTTTTATTATATAAAATTATTTTTGTAGTGGAACGAATGTCTATTTTCCTAACTTTTCACATATTTCAGATACTAAGAAGTAAAAAAAAACCACATTCGATAAGTGAGTATATTCTCTGTAAAACCATTTTTTTCCAACACTTTTTATTAGTTCGAATTTTAATTGTTTATGATGGACTTCCCATATAAATTTTGACCCTATTGATGATGCCTAATTTAGCTGAACTTTCTTTGGCTTACTAATCCCCGATGCCAATACAACCAGTCACGATCAGTAGGTCACCATAGGTGACCTCCGTTAACCATCGAGTGGGCCTATATCTTGGATTACAAATTTGGTCCCAATCCTGAAGTTCATTTTGGCTTTTACTTTTTACACTTATCAATCCACGATAACACTACACTACATTACTTCACGGTAAGTACGTTACCAGTGAGCTCCATTGACCCTTGAGTGACCTTCTGTGGATATCTCAGGACCGGAAAGTGGTACGGACATCGGATTTTCACTGCAGGGTTTCCTTACGCTTGGTTATTCGCTCCCGATGAAAATGAACCATGAGGAACACATTTTTTTACCACAGAAAGGACACTGGCATTTAACGCAATTTTTGTATTGGGCGTGGCAAGCTTTTTAGTCGTAAAATTCAACCCACTTCATTATCTGCCATTACATCTTCTAAGACGTACAAAATAAAAATAAAAAATAATAATTTTAAACGTTTATTTTACTTTTTTAATAAAGGGCTTTACTCAATATATATATAAGTATTAATTATAAAAGTCCCCCTAAAATTCATTGTTGTTACACTCACATAACTAAAACACTTGAAATACAATGTTGTCGTATGGTTTGTAGAATAATATGTTTGACACATGTATATATTTGTATTGAATGCTCCAATCACTCGACATCATGTAATTTGAATAAAATTAGTGATACCGCTGCATGCCTATATTTGAGATTTGCAAACAACTTTGAAATCACGTGTTCCAAACCCTCGTTTAAGTCATTTGACTGGAACCACTTTAAGGTTTTGGGGGACTTTCCTTTTATACGTTTTAGTACATTTTTAAACAGTGCGTTTTAGTGTATATATATATATATATATATATATTTGTGTGATTTTTCTTTTTTATGTTTTTGTATATTTTTATATAGTGTGTTTTAGTGTATATATATATATATATATATATATATATATATATATATATATATATATATATATTATAAATAATTACAATTTATTTAAAAGTAAATTCTTTTCTGTAATTTAATAGTTTTATATGGGCTTATTTATTTTAAGTTTTTTTAAAGGTATTTAAAAACTTGTTATTTTAAAATATTATTATAAAAAATTTTTATTTTGTTTTTAAAAAAATATTTATTTACATAGAAGTTACAAACAGAAACGAAACGCAAACATTGAAATTCTCTCCCGTCACAGTACACATACAATTAAACCCACCAGCACATATTATTGGGTTGGATTCTAAAGGTAAGTTTACTAAGATAGTAGAACAAATTGGTCCAAAGGCTTCATATGCTGTAACTTGATATTTAATAATGATGTTTTATTTCATGAATACAGGCTGTCAAGTTTATGTGAGTTTTTCTTTACCATAGTAATGTAAAAATAATCTTTTTTTTTTTTAAACACGCATGGTATCAAAGACCTTAAATTATAAACCATTAAGACACAACTTTTAAAAAAGCAAAAACAAAAAAAATCTTAATTTCCCTGAACATTTTTTTTTAAAAAATCATTAATGTTTATATTGGCGATAACAAAAGCATATTAAATAATTAACACATGAAGTTTCGGTTTATAAAAAAAATTAAGTTTACTTTAAAATGACCATGGACATCTGGCTCTTTACCTTACTAGGAAGCATTGTAGGCATTCAGGGATGAGGTCCAATGGTTTACCATCAGCAACAACACTATTTTTTTTGTACCACAGCTACCTTAATTAAAAAATGTTCACTTATAAATTGTTCTCCTTTTTTTTTCTATACTGGTATAATTTGTACATATACATACGTGCAATTTCTAAATTCAGAGCCAGTTTTTAGCTACAGTGACCATTTTGAAGCAACTTTTGATCTAGAAATTAATGATAAACAAACATTAAGAGGCGTTGGAAGTTTTGGACATTCTGTGGAAATTTACTACTCAGGTAATAATGGTGGCTGTATATTTTGATATAATATATTATCAGTGACGTATGCTTTGATTTTATGAATTACTTATTTGATCCATAGATTAAAAACAAATATTATCTACAACAAAACCTTTTTAAAAAAAATGTTTTGCTATGTTTAACTCATTTTAACAATATCTCGTATATAAAACTTTTTACCTTAATAACAGTTCAAGCTTTATTATACATCTTTGACACTGTTAATACCATTGAACGCAATATGTCATGTTTGTATTTTGGTACATTATTGCTTAAAAAATCGTTCTGTAATGAACGCTATCTTTGAAAGACAAAGTGTTCTGATTACCGCTTTGCTAGAAGATAAATAAGTGTTTTTATTTTGTTCAATAAAAGTACCACCCTTATGTTGTTTATTGTTATGATTTTTCACCGTTCTGAAAAGTTCATTTGCCAACGGAAGCTATATTTATATGTGCATTGTTCACAAACGCAGGTGCCCGTTCAGGATGCAGGTGTTGCAGAACTGTTGTATTGGTGCATTCATTGTTTACAATAAATTTAATGCCTGAGGGTACTCTCATTGAACCTACTGAGTTAATACTTTTTTGTTTTTGTGATTGTCATCGCAACAGGATGGTATTACATATACAGTAGTATTACATTTAGACGTCCCATGACCTGGCATTATCAAAACTGTCAGAAAAGGTAAAACTTAACATCATCAAACATCTTACACATGAATAAATTTAATATTAAATTATTTCTTTTCAATCGAATAGTCTATTAGCTACACGGAATGTCGAGTACACCACATTACTTTAAGTGCTTAAAACGGAATGTTATAAAACTTTGTTTCCCCCTTTTCTATCCTTTTATGAAATGTACACAACTGCATACCTCCCCACAGAGCTGGTTTCATTATGTACATAGAATCAGTCCAAACAGTCCAGCCAACTCTGGTGTATTACTTCGTACGGCACACACCGGATGCCCAAGCTGTAAAAAGAGCAAGGAAAGGTTCTACACCGGTAAAAGTTATTGTACCGAATTAAAATTTATTTTCGCCACCTTTGATGCCACAAAAACTCTCGTCTCTTCACTCATTCTTTCAAAATTTGACTACTGTAACACTCTTCTCGCAGGCATTCCTCAACACCACATAGACAATCTTCAGAAAGCACAGAACTCAGCATGCAGACTCATTTTCAATCAAAGAAACATGACCACATTCAACCACACATGCGGCAACTCCACTAGCTTCCAATTAATTTCCTCTCGCATCAAGTACAAGTCTGCCAATCTACGCTTCAACTCGTTCACTGACCCTCACTTTCCTGTATATCTCTCTGAACTGTTGCTTCCTTAAATCCCCACAAGACAACTACGCTCTTCAATTGACAATAGAACCGTCTCAATCCCAAGAACCAAAACTAAGACCATCGGTGAACGCTCCTTCTACTTCCATGCGCCCATGTTCTGGAACCAGCTCCCCTTCCACATCCGTCATTGTGAAAACTCGTCCACTTTCAAAAAGTCACTTAAAACCCATCTGTTTAGGTCCGCCTATGACCTGTGATGCACCCTCCTTGCCCTGCCTCATTTTCTGTCTCGGGTTGATCCTGAAGTATCAAAGTGTCCTCTTTTTATAGCCATTTTCATTGTTTCTATAGAATAGTAGTTACTATCCTAGTGTCTCATTTGTATTTACTTAGTTTACATGTTTTAATAATTGTAAAGCGCTTAGAGCTTTATGATAAGCGCTATATAAAAATGCCTAAATAAATAAATATTCAGAAAGTAATAAAATTGTACCCTTTCAGCCGTCACGAGCGGAGGGACTGGATTATGTTGACTGTTTCCTTTTACATATTTTATTAATAAATCTTACTTTTAGATATATAACAAAAACAATGAAATTTTGTATTTCATTAAAATAAAAATTTAATTCTTGATATTCTTTGTCCATTAAATGTTGTATCTTTTCAGGTGGTATATTCCATTTAAATCAAGGAGACACACTGAAAGTATGTTTATCGGGACTAGGGATTGCAGATTTTTCTGATGAGTCCAGTTATTTTGGGATGTTCATGTTGAATAGTGAGCCTGGGGCACGTAAATGAGAACTTTAGACTGATAAAATTGGCCTTCTGTCTTTTCAATAAATTGCATACTGATTAATTGTACGTTGTTAAAAATGGGTTTTTATTAAAAAATGTATTTTAAAAACTTCCTATGGAATATTAAATTTTAAACAGGGGTCGAGGAATGGAGAAATATTATTCGATCGCTATAACAAAAAACCCATGCCCCGATATTTCATACATTTATTTCATAGCAAACATATTGCCATATTTATCTTATTGCATCCTCGAAGCCTGCTTTTCATTCTAATAAAACACGCACAACAGTATGTGACAAGCTTCCCCTTTTATACCTGTGATACAGTTCGCTTACCCCAAAGGGACTGTCCTGCAGGACTTATAAGAGGATCGGCGCTCTTGATCTGGAAAAAAGTACACGAATATCATTTCTCATGTTACAATTCAGGACCCAAGCTTCAGTTTTAATTCAAATTTTAATAGGCGAAATATAAGGCTTTGAATGGATGTTTGTGGGATAGATGATCATCTTCAACATAAACCGGATGCGTACTTACTCTCTGCACGGTAAAGGGAAACCAAAGCATGAAACACAATTGGTTTTTTGAAGAAAAAAAAATAGTTACTAAAAATGTAGGAAGATATAAGTTGTCAATGTTTTAATTTTCTAAACACAATTTCAACAAATACAACAGAAAAGGAAAAATAAAACGTTCAAAAAATTTTTAACAGAGCAAATGTCCCAACAAAATATACAAAACAAAATATCTACAAAACTAATGTGATTCTATATTGAAATTTTGAGTCGTTTTATATAAAGTTGTTTGTTGTTTTTTTTTTGTTTTTTTGCCTTTTTATATATATATTAATTTTTAGGCTGTTTTGTAAAATACACAGATTTCATTAAATATAAATTAAATAGTATAACAAAATATACAAAATATCATTTGTAAGTTAATATAACATCAACACAATGGTAATCGGGTCAGTTCATGAGTAATGTGAAGAATTTCGGGGCTAAGTTGCTGTCCGTGTAGTAGTAATAAATCAATCGCGACGATTCATTTTCATTTCCTTTCACTGCTAACGAAATTAAACATTGAGGGAAATCAAACGTATAAATATGAAATTAGATTTCTTTATTGTTTGTTTTTAATGTAATATTTGATGATGACAGCAGAAAGAAGCTGCACAGTCTGCAATGCACACACCGCAGATTGGAGGTATGGGGAGGCTCTAGAGTGTATTTTTAGTCGAGAATGGCGCAGATACCACAGATCTAGACCTGGATTCAGTAGAGTGGTGAGGAATGGGGGGGGGATTGGCTGGGAGCAGAGGATTTTGATGTTTTCGCTACCCCTAGTGTTAAATCCAGTTTACTCTATTAACATTAGTAAAATAATTATTGGCGAATTTAAACAAATTCTGGAAACCCAATATTAATCAAAATACACCTGGGTATATAATATACTGATTTCATTTTACCCATTTAGCGTACATCTGTACTGAAAATAAATTAAGGCCAGATTTTACTAACATTTATTAGTGGGGATGCTTGATTGTACCGTTTTACCGTTAAAGACAGGGGTACTCATAATCTGGCCAGTGATGTCATTTCAACTGGCCAGCCGACGAGATTCCGAAAATTCAAGTTATAATAATACAAATTAAAATGGATGTCAAGATATTAGAACCTGTGAGATTAATGTATCACCAATGTGTCTTGTATCTTTACTCAAGTCAAATTAGTAATACACGATGTACGAGGAGACTAATTAAAACTCATGTGCTTGGATGAACGAAGGCTACATATGTATATATATATATATATATATATATATATATATATATATATATATATATATATATAGAGAGAGAGAGAGAGAGAGAGATAATGTGTGTTGTATATTTACACAAGAGAAAATAGTAATACACGATGTACGAGGAGAATAAATAAAACTCATGTGTGTGGATGAACGAAGGCTATATATATATATATATATATATATATATATATATATATATATATATATATAAAGAGAGAGAGAGAGAGAGAGAGAGAACAATGAGAAAGAGCTATGTTTGTTATAATTGTTTTATATTTCATATAGACTTCTTGTTTAGAATTAATAGAGTCATTTTTTGCTTGTCAATTAGTTGTTCTAAAGGAATCTTTCGGATAAATTAGTTACCTGTGGATATCATATTTTTCGCATAATTAATGACCCAGGTCTAGGATAGATGTGTACAATATGTATACATTTAAAAAAACTACACTGGCCCTACGAGAAAATGGAAATCGTTAATATTGTCGGTAGTTCACCAAGCAGATGGAAAAGTCTGATTTTAGCCGCTGTCGCCGTGTTGTTGCAAAATCCTTGGTTGAAAGCTAAGAGAGGTTAACACCCAATTCTCAACATAAACATCTGGAGATGAGTAACGAAGGTGGTATGACAATGACTCAATGAAATATTTTTTTTGCAAAAATATGTGATCTCGCTGGTAGCTGGCTTGTAATTCCTCTGGGATCAGCCAGATGAGTGGTCAAATGGGGATCTGTTGAAAAGTAACCTCGTTATTGTCCTTAACATAATTACAGGCCTATGAGTTCATCCTGAAGAGAAACACGCCATCGTCTCATTGAAACTGGATTTTAGAAGTACCAAACAAAAACTATCAGTAGTTAAGAACGTAATATATAGTGATACGATCGGATGTGATTTTAAATTTTTATGTTAAAAATTAGCGTAGGCTTGTCATCGGTAATGACTACTGGCGTAATTACACTGAGGCTCAACGTGGATATATATTTATAGATACAATAATTAAAAACAAACTTTTACAATAACTACTGATGGTACGGCTATAAATGGTGATGGTTCGGCAATAAATGGTGATGAAAGGCATTAAATAGTGATGGTGCGGGAAAAAATATTGATGGTACGGCAATATATGGTGATTGTACATCATAAATGGTGATGGTAGGGCATTAAATTGTGATGGTACGGCAAAAAATATTGATGGTACTGCAATAAGTGGTGATTGGTACGGCATTAAATGTGATGGTACGGCAATGTATGGGGATGGTACGTCATAAATGGTGATGGTAGGGCAATATATGCTGATGGTACGGCAATAAATGGTGATGGTACGGCAATACATGGTGATGGTACGGCAATAAATGGTGATGGTACGGCGATAGAAAACTAGATCTAATCAGTTTGCACGCACATCTAACCAACAATTAACAAGTTCACAAATTTTAAAATAAAAGAAATTAACACAAGTTTTAAGAAGACGACTTTTTGAAACAAAGCAAAACCTAGTTACATGGGGTATGTTGAAAGATTGAATCAATATAACAGTAACTTACCTAGATCTCATTTGTATTTCTTTTCAATGTGTTATTATTTTTTATGAAGCTTGACCTGTAAATTATTTCAACAAGAAACGCGAATCAGGACTAAAGTTAAAGATTATGGTAATTTAAGGGACATTTAATACCCAGTAATAATCACACAACTCTATTGGCTGGCTAATTTTAGACTGCCTTATTTAAAATTATGTATCTTTTAGTAGAATATGCAACAAAAGTCTACGACTTAGACAAAATCCTATAATTTTATACCGTATTGCAAAACTTAATTGGTCGTATTTAAATTATCCCAAATTAAATTTAATTGATCTATTTAAATCATTCGTTGATGTATTTAATTCATCCCAAATTAGATTTAAAGCCTCCTTTGTAGTATTTAAATCAATTGCTGTTTTATTTTAATCATTCCAAATTAGACTTAAATCATCCAATGTAGTATATAAATCATTCATTTTTACATTAAAATCATTCACTATTTTTAATTAACCATTAATGCAATTAACGCCATTTTTCTAATATACAATCAAACTTGTAAACTGTTACATCATATCATGCGACTCCTACCCAGGGTTTCTGCCCCCCCCCCCCTTCGGGGGAAAGCCACGAGCCCCCCGGAGCAAACTATGTCCAACAATAAATCTTCTGGTACTGCTGGCACTGCCCCCCAACCCCCCCCCCAAAAAAAAAAATCTGAAGTGCCCCCGAGAGGAAAATTTCTGAAATAATCACTGCTCTTAGCGTTAAGCCGAAAAGTGTATTGAAAAGTTATTTTAATTCTTAGTAAACGAGGGAGAACCCGGCTTGCCTTGCAATGCCACTCCAAGATAAAAAATTGTTTGTGCTTTAATTACCTTTCTAAAGTAATTTCTTTAAATAGAGATTTATTTTTTACGTCTGGTGCGTAAAATTGGAAGGTTTTATTGGCACGTGAGCAGGCAAAATACGTGAGAAGTAAGGGTTTTCAAAATTGAGTTAACACATTGTAGCGATTGATCCACCCATGCAGTAGTTCTGTTTGAAATTATTATATTTATAGCAAACATAATTAAAAAATTTTAAAAAATTAAGGCTCTCGACCCCAAAAGCAAAATTGTAAATGGGTTGTACCAATTCATAAACTTCTTATTAAAGCTCATACAAACTCAAAATTGCTATTTGTATTAGATTAAATTCCATTCACCCGTGCCATTGCTCTGATAATTTTTTTTTTTTTAATTCTGAAATAATAGTTTTAATTTTTCTAATACCAAAGTACGTATATTATTTTAAAAGATATTTAATTTAAAAAAATGTGTCACAACATAGGTAAAAATACAAGTTAATGAGTATCTGTCAATCCAGCAAGTTTTAATAAGCTTCTCGATCGACCCATGAGAAACAAGGATGTAAAGGCTGGGAACAAAGACGTGAGAACACCCAGTAGCAAAAGAGTCCCTTAATATAATATAATATAATCAATATAAAAGTGTTTCACACAGTTGTGTGCCAAGTATTACGCTTATCAGAAAAAAAACATGTGCAATATGTACGCCCCCCCTTTCCTTATCAATGACTTCTTGATCTTGCAAGCTTCGTCGCAAATCGTTTATCATTCTGTCACTAAAAGCGCAGCCTTATCTCCATTAATCGATTATTGTCAACTTGGTCAGTCCAAACTCAATAGTTTAGCTGCGACGGTAGACTTTTTCTTGCAATGCACCTCAAATGACTTAAACGAGTTGGTTGGTAGATCTGTGACATATTAAGTTAGTATGGATACACTTTTAAAAGTGCTATATAATTAAGTCATGTTGTAAGAGAAGTTATCAATTATTAGGCCCCCCTGTGTATGTATATATATATATAAAATGCAAAAGAATTATAATTAATACAAATAAT